ATCTCTCATGTTTCTAGATCTCTATTATAAACACATCTGGAGAAAATCTTCATGCTTTATTTTGCCTCTTAAATGTCACATGCAAAAATAAGCACAAAACCATCATTCCACCCAGTGTCCTTGCCCAGCTGATGTGAAACAAGCATTAAAGCAATAAATATGAGGCATAACTACTATTTCTGTGTACTGAAACCCTACTGAAGAGAAGAGCTGGTCTGCCACCTCTGCTTATCAGAGTTCTGGCCAAATGCTCCAGCTCCTCTCCATCCAGGAGCAACAGTGTCCCTAAGGATGTGTGGAGCCACAGGAACATCTGTGGCAACTGAAAATAAAATTTGATCAAACAAATACTCACTGGTCCATAACAATGGTAATATCAGGGCTGAAATTAAAAGAACTAAAGGTGTTTTCCCCCACATTCTTGTGAGGAAATGGGACATCAGTGCTTTGGTGACATGGCCAGGATTTCACAGGGAAGAGCAGAGAGCAGGCTGAAGGCACTGCAGTCAGGCACTGGCTCAGGGTGCTGTCCCTGGGAATGTGTCCCCTTGGGAGAGGTGACAGCAGGATGCAGGCAGGAGGGCACAGCAAGTATTTGGGAAACTTCACTTAACAGTTAAAACCTCTACGTGAATGAAGCCTTGAGCCTGTTTTGCTTCAAACAATGTTCCATTCAAAGCATGACTCAACTCTTGGGGCCTCATCCAAAGCTCACTAAGGACAATGAGAGTTTTTCCATTGACTTGAGCAGCCTTTGGATGAGGGCCTTGATCCTGAAAGCCTGATCCACATGGGAAAGGTTGCACAGAAAAGATCAGGTCTAGAAATCCTCGTTGAGATTGTACCCAGTCTTTTCCTAGGTGAGCATTCCAAGCTAGAGCAATGACACCAAGTGAGCCTGGTGGTCTGCCCACTATCCTGAACTTCACCTAACATTTGATGGCCACAGGGATTTATAAGGATAAATCCTTGGTCCCCACACTTCCACAGAATTCTTCATGTTTGCATAGCTGATAGAGTTTTCCTTCCCTCTTGACTTTGTTTTTGTCTAATGGTGTTATCAGAATGTAACTCATGAACCACTGAGTGAAGGCTTCAAGAGAAGCCACACAAAAGTCAAAGGTCCAGTTAAGTCATGTTAAAGCCTAAGCTCCAGTTAAAATTAAAAGTGTCCTGATTACTGAGACCTCAGGTGCTGAAACTATAATGAAGGGCAAATTAATCTGACTTATTTTTAGTAGCTAAGGCTTTCACATGCTGGTTTTCAGGGCAGGGCTTTTAGTAGAAAAGGTTTAATCTTTTTCAGCCACTTTGGATGATAAAACTTATTATGTTTGAATAAGATGTCTTAAAACACCATAACTCAACCACAAAAGAAGAGAAAGACCAAACAATGTGATATTTGGAGCTTGCAAGTTCCTCCCTACTGGCTGTCTTTTCAAAGCAAGTGTCATGTGAAATGATTTTATCCATTGCTATACCATTCCCCAATGCTGTCCTCTCTGCACAAACATCCTGTCCAGGGCCAGCTCTGCTGTGACACCTGGCTCACAAACACATCTGGAGAGCTCTGTGTGCACCAAGCCTCGTGGGCCTGCTCAGCCTGACAAAGCTTTCCATACAAAACCTCTTCCCCCTTCCCTTCAGTGCTCACCATACTGTGCATAAATAATATTTGGTTGTCCCGGTGGAGTTACGACTGAAAAAAAAATGTTTTCCCCCATCTGGTTTGTATTAACTTTACAAGGGAAATGCAGTATACAGGGGAATTTATTTTTTTTGTGCTTGTATAACCATGTCTACACCCTGGCTGCTGCCAGAGCATCCTGGGTGAGGCAGGGGAAGCTGCAGCACAGACAGGACCAGTGTGACAGAGCACGAGGGCAGTGCTGCTGAGGGGAAACACCAGAGCTGCTTCACCTCCACACCCAACCTTGCAGAAAATCCACTTGGGTGATTTCTGTCAAAGCTTTTCCTTGCAAAGCTGTGCTGCCACATTTTTAAGCCCAGCCAAAACCTCAGATTGCCTCACAGAACTGAGTGGTCCAGGATCCATAAACGTCATTTCCCAGGATAATCCTTGACTTTTGTTTCAGTCTGTTATTTCCCACTTAATACCCACGGCTTTTTAATTGGTTATTATTATTTCTTATTATATTTGAAAATTTTAAGAGTCTCTTAAGAAGCAAAAAGGGGACATAATTAAAGAAAAATGCAGAGAATAATCAAAATGTAGTGTGACTTTACAGATGTGACAGACATTGCTTCTTCTCGGGAGGGAGGCAGGAAATTGTGGTGGGCCAGAGCCCTCAGCCCTCATCTGGCTGCAAAATATCCCCTCAGGACCAGCTTTGTGAACCCCAGGCACACAATAAACACCAGCAGCTCCTGCATCCAGCTCCCCAGTGCAGCCCAGGCTGCTGCCAGACGATATTTTACATTATTTTGATGTTGTAATACAACATTTATTTACCTGATTTAAAAGCAACCATTGACCTGCCACATGACTTCAGACACATTAGTTCAGCATGCTGGTTTTTATTTTCTGATGGCCTTTCAGACCTTTAGCTCCTCTTCTAATCATAAATTAAATATAGACAGTGATGACAAGAAGAGGGAAAGATGCAATATGAACACTGATCATGCAGAATGAAGAAGGTGGCACAACATGTTCAATTTTTTAATGGTATCAGACCCAGACTTGATCCAAAACCAAGCTCATTTTATATGTATGGCTTCTTTTGCACCTCATTTGGAAGGTTTAGCTCTTTTGATTGGTTTGCTACATCAGTTCATACATTGCTGTTACAAGTAGTAGGTGCAAGACCAAACCTCAGCTTTAAGTCACATTATATTCAAATAAACAGAGACCAACACACACTCCTGCCATTGACTTAAGTGGGTACTGAGTTCATCTAAAGCTGTCATTACTTTACCCAGATTGGTACAAAACTTCCTCTGCTGTACTACAAACTTAACTATAGTTGGTCACCATCACACTTAAGGGTAGGCAGAGACAGCTCCCACTCAGGGGGCTGTGCACAAAAACAGCCAGACAGGCTGGACAGCATCTGGGAGAGACGGATTAAAGTTCAAGCTACCTTTCCAAATACAGCTTTGAGACAGAAATGCTGCTTATCATGAAGAGAAGATCTGTAAAAACAGCAGTGGGAAGATAAGGATGAGACTGGCTAGCACAGTCTCCCAGTGACTCCCAGGGCTGGGGTGACCCCAGCTTGAACAGTCCAAGATGGGCGACTTGGTTATGAAAAGGGTGGTAAACAAGGAAAGATCATGCATGGAAAAAAATAAACATCGAGGGCTCGAGTGGGGCTGTGCAGAAATGCCAGGGAGCAGCTGCTGCCAGCAGTGCAGTGACACATGCACACCAGGGCAGCCAGGGTGGGGAGGGTTTGAGCGCTGCCTGATTGACGCTAATGACATTCCCCCAGAGGCTGAGGCTTTCCTCACACCACTCCCAGGAGGGTCAGAGGCACATTCCTCCTCAGTTCTAATGTGAAAAAACATCATTTGAGTCAAGTTAAACGATGCCAGGTGTTTGCTCCGGTCGCCTGAAGCAGAGGCATGGTCAGAGCTCAGCCTGCGCTTCCCAGAGTGGGAAACAGCCTCAGGATGCTGCAGTTACCTGCTGGCAACTCCAGCCCAGCTCCAGGTCCAGCTGCTGCTGGAGGAGATCCATCCTGTGCTGGTGGGACACAGGAACACCTGGGAGTGTGGCTGCCAGCCCAGCAGAGCACTGGGAACTGCGGTGTTTATTCCCAGCGAGGTGTGTGTGTGACAGACAGAGCCTAAGGCACTGCACTCTCCATGGAGCCTTTGTTTACCTCTGCTGCTTCTGTCCTGCCTGGCAGGAAAAGCCTTACTTCTGCCAGTGACTAAAGGGCACCAGAAACGGAGGGAGGAGCAGATCCACGGCCTCAAATCCCACTGCACAAGACATGAAACATCACCCAGTCCAGATCATCAAAGCATTCTGAAAAGCTGAAACCTCCTACCAAGCTAAACTCTGAACTTCTGAGCCCAATCCCCCAGGCCAGTGAGCAAACACTTAAGAAAGAAGAGGTGCCTACAAATGCACATAAATGCACTGTTATTTTGAGAGTGGAAGGTGAAGTTTTCAGGCGCTTTGTACCTGAAGAGGTCACTGCAATAAACATTCAGCAGGTCCCAGGAAAGGTACTGGCAACTGCTAAAGCTCAGAATCCCTGAAATTCTGAATCTTTTTGAGTTAGGACCCTACTTCAGGAATTGCAGTTTATAAATAGCTGACTGATGGCACACCTAAATTTAAGAATGCCAAGGAATCTAGCAAAATCCATGTGCTGAGGACTTCCAGAGCCAGTTTTGTAATAGCTCTGGAGGCTGGCTGTGGGACCTGTGTGCCATGGGCTCACACTGGCTGTGTTCCTCAGCCTGCCAGGGCTGGTGCTTGCATGTTCCATCCTGTTCTCCTTTCCACCCCTACAATCTCTCATTAGGATCAGTAGCAACTCTCTGCGAGCAAAACACAGATTAGCCTGGACTGCTCCAGTGCCTCCAGATGTGTGCTGCAGCTGTGGGATGCACGCCTGGAGAAGGAGAGGAGGAGGAGGAGGAGATGGAGGAGGAGATGGAGGAGGAGGAGGGCTGCCTTTCTCTTCTCCCTCCTGCACACAGAGGTGATGGCCCAGCCCACAGGACCATGACAGGACAGGCTGGCACCTGAGCAGCACCTCAGGCTGGCTGAGCCCGTGCTGCTCACACCTGGAACAGGAATGGGATGGGCATTGTCAGCTGGAGACACGGGAAGTCCCAAAGGCCATCCTGCAGACCCTGCTCAGAGCACAGCCCCTGTGGGCCTCGAGTCTGAATGTCAGGCTCATCATTGCTTACACCCAACCAGAAATCTTTCAGTCGAGAGGTTCCTTCAGGATCTGAAACCTGGCTGAGGGTGTGAGTGCACATCTATTTATAGCAAGATAAATATTTGTGTAAACACGTAGAGGAAAAGAAGGCAAATCTTTAATTAGAGCACACTCTGAGAAAGGGAGATTAAATAGTGAAAAACTTCCACATAGATATTCTGGATTGATTTTCTAGAAAATATTTCCTAGAACAGAGATCTAGATAAGTCTTTTAACAGTTTATCTCTTTCCAAATTTTCCAGGAGCACTATTTTGATTCTCTTCCATTTCCATGGTGACCCAGTCACACATATGCATTTTCTCAGGATTACCACAGCGATTCCTTTGTGATGATTGCTCTATTCTGCTCTTTAAAATAAGGCTTAGAATGTTAATCATGAGAAGAAGAATCACAGGATAATCAGTGGTTGCTTGCAGAGCAGTGAAGTTGCAAATCAGCTGCTGAGGATAAGTAGCAGACACAAACAGGCTTCAGAAGCAGTCCTGAAATACTGAAGCACAAAACCCTTAAGTTCACTGTTCTTCAGCACAGCACCCTTACCACAGCCCTCTGGGGTCACAACCTTGTCTAAAACAAAGGGTCTTCCATGCAGAACACACTCAACACCTTTGTCAGGCCTTTCCAGAGGAAAATGGGGCTGGGGCCCTGCTTCCTCAGGGCACAGGGGTTCCTGCTGTGAGCAGGCAGCTTCAGCAGGTGACACACAACTTCTGTGCCCACCTCTCCAAAAGGCAGCTGCGTGTTTCAGCCGCTTCGTGGCAGTCGGTCCTGTTCAATCAGCTGAACTGAGCTCAGAAAGCAGCAGTGCCCAGCTCTTGGACACACTCCTGGACGCCAGGAGTGTTCCTCCCTGGGCTCTGCTACAGCCAGGTGATGCAGATTCCTGGGAGCAGAAATGATTCCAGCCCACGCTCCCTGAGCACGGCTTCTCCCGCACCCCAGATGGGAACCTGACAGCTCAGGTGCAGCCACCTCCCAGCCACAGAGAGGGCAGGAGGGCTGGGGACCTGCCTCTTCTCACTGCTCTGCAAATCTGAGTCAGCCACAGAAATAAGAGGGAGACAGGAAAAAATAGAAAGGGAGAAGTGGTTAAGGCATTCCTGTGTGACGCAAATGCAGTGATGTCAGAATTGGAGACCACAGACACCTCTGCCAAAATGAATGGGATTCCAGCAGGCTCCAGCTGGTCTCATGGTTTGTGCATTCTGTGTTGTTTCCTGGATACCAGCAATTCCCAGCTGTAAACTGAGCAACCATTAACCCTTCCCTGCTGTGGGTTTCCAGGCAGTCACTCACGGGGAAGTTTTTCCCTCCGGTGAAAGATTCCCATATTTCATAACCAGGCATCTTGTATGAATCAATGGCCAACTTAAAAATAACCCCTTGACCCTGTGTGTCTGGGACAGCCACTGGAACATGGAAAGGAGAACCTTTTACACAAAGCAACATTTATTATCTGATCTTTCAGCTGCATCCCTGTGCCCTTGAGCTTCATTCCCCAATCACCCATGTGACTTACCCACCTTTACCACTTTTCCTTTCCTACTCACTTTTTTCTCCTTTTTTTCCCCCTTGTTCCTTCAAGTTAATTTTTCATTTTTTCCTTCCTACCTCTGCAATGAGAAGATGAGGCATGGCTAAAGTGCTGAACTTACTCTGGGAATAGATCTGAAATCCTGGATCTGACATACAACTCCCAGAAATTTTTGTGAGGGAAAGCATCCAAATTCTTAATCTAGTGGCTGATTCCTTCCTGGCACAAACTGAAAACCTAATTTTGGATCTCAAATGCCTGAGCTTCCCGAAAGTAAAAATCTAGGCATGGATTTTTTTGGCTGAACTAGCCCTCCCACAGCTGGGAGCAAACAAGAGCTTGAACTCAGGCCAGACCAAAATAATCAAATATCTGATTTATTAATCCCTACTTATCAAATTGTATCTAAGCTGCACAGGCAGGTCCCCTGTTCTCTCTGGGTACTGATAGACAATGAAAAACTGAACACAGATCAGAACAGACCTCATGGGCTGAGGTGACAGCAGAAAGTGTGAGTGCTTTTGAAAATTGGTAGTGAAAAGACAAATACACCCAAAACCAGAGCCAGCAATGGTTACATTCCTCAACGGTATAGACTTGTCCAAAACATGAAACCGTGAGTAACTGCACTAAGGGCTGAACTGCATTTCCAGCCTGCTCAGCACAAAGAGCTGCTGCTGTCACAGAGGACACTCTGATGAACTTATCTGACAAGAAAAGTGGGGCAGTGCTTCCCAGCCAAGGAGCAGCAGAGGCTGGAGCTGTTCCCCTGGCTCGTGGGACATCCCAAAGGCTCTCCTGTCCCCTGCCTGACCTCCCTGCACGCCTCTCGCTGCCTCCACCACTGCCACTTTCACCAGGCCAAAGCTTGGGTTCTTCTCAGTCCTTTCTAACTTCTGAGCTTTTATTGTTCATCCATGCAAATTTTTCTTGACTAACATGAAAATTGGTATTTCTCATCTAGCAGGAAAAGCTCAACTTCAAGAAAAATAATAGAATAACATCTAGAAATGCTGATACTGCAGCCACCTCTTCCTTGGCCCATGGTCAGATCCCCACTCACAAAATGGGCTCAGCCCCCAGCAATGGATCACAGGACAACTTTTGTGGAAGCTGAGCACAAAGAGAGCCATTCTGGCCCTATTCCTCATCTTAGCTCAGGGTACAGCTTCAGCACAGCCAGAGAGACTCTCAGCTTTCCATCCCAGCCTGCAAATCCCTGTGCATGGGCATGTTTGCTAAGATCAGACCTTATTCTGCAGGACATTTTATTTCTTCCCACATTATAACATAGATGTATTATTTACCACAAGCTCAAGCAGTGTAAAGGGAAGTGTATTCCCAGTCCCTCAAGTCTCCAGAAATAGTAAAGATGAATTTTCTTTGAGCAAGGGACTGATACAAGAAAGAAGGTCAGTAAACTTAGCAAAATGAAGTGTGAAACAGAATATGATTTATGGCTATTAATGCATCAAGGGAAATAGGAATGGAAGGAAAATAAGAGATTAAGCTAAATGCTGCTGTTGGAATAAGAGTAAATAGGCATGAACTGACTACTAATAAACTAAGGCTGAATGAAAATTAGAAGGCTCCCAACCAGTTCAACAACCTGATTCTAGAGCTGTCAAACATGGGAGCAGCAGAGAGCAAACTCTGCTTTAGGAATAAAACTGTTAAGGCAACAAGGCCAATTGTATAGCTTGGTATTTCTGAGAGGAGCCCTGAGTCAGAATCCCAAGTTCTCTGTAGCCCCATCTTTCTGAAAGTTTCCCTTGGTTGTTTTGCTGCTTTTGCATAGCAGACGAGCATTTCACTTTCATATTCCTTGCAGGAACGTTTTGATTTCTGAGACCAAAGACAAAGGGGAGAGGTTGTGTTGCAGCCCAGGGGTAGGACATGAAACACTCGGCCACTTTGGTTTCTACCCCCTCCTCCCCAGCCTCTCAGTCACTGACTTCTTGCCTGGTCCTTATCATTCTGCTTCCACACATTTTGACTCAGCTAAAAATAGATCCATATTCCATCTTTCTGCTGTAGAAGTGCTGCAGAGCCAGCCCCACTTCCCATGTGGAATACAATGCTTATAACAGCATTTGTTGCTAGGTGTATTTATAAGAAACAAAGTCTGAATAAGCATAAGACAAAAGGAGCTGATACCCAACAGTGTGATAAGGCTCACTTGTGTGCTTTGAGAACATCTGGGGACCTTTGAATCCCAGAAAAGTGACACCATTGACAGAGGTTAAACTATCTCTCTGGAGCCTCAAGATGCACATACACGGCACTATTGGTAAATAACTAATATTAAACACAACTGTGATACTGAAAACAGGATAAAATATGAACTGTAGAATTATAGGGCAGTTTAGGCTGGAAAAGAGCTCAGGAGGCCATCTAGTCCAACTGCTTTGCTCACAGAGAGCCAGCTCAAATCACACTGAGCAGGAAGGGTCTCTGACATGTGCCAGAATGGGCCTTTCCCTTTCCTTGATTGCCAAGGAATGTAGAGTTCTGCATGCCCTCAGCAACTCCTCAGCCAAAGCCTTTGGGATGTTCTTGCAGGTCTCTGGGTTTCCCAGCTTGGTAAAGATCAGTTTCATTTGGATCTTGCCCTTACAGTCATTGGTGGTCCTGTGACCAATGGACCCCTGTCAGAGGGCCGTGGGATGCCAGCGTGGTTGGGCTGGGAGGCACCTCTGAGGATCATCTAGAGCAGGAAGACGCTGCAGAGGGCAGTCAGGTCAGTGCTATCAATGAGCAGCCAGCCCAGCACACCAGGATTAGTCAGAGCAGAGATGAAACAAACCTGCCCGGCCTCCTTCCCTTTGCTCTGCTCTGATGTTCACAGATAAACCCATGCGGGAGAAGCTGGAAAGAACTGAATGTCCTGTGGGAGCTCTTATCAAGACCAGGAGTGCACAGCCAATAACCACTCAGCAAGTCACCTTCTAAGTTGAAAAAGCAGCCTGTTGTTTTAAAGTATGTTAGTCATCAACAAATTGGCTGGGGTGTTCTTCGGTCCTTCAGCTTCCCCTCTCCAGTCTCCCTCTGCTGGGATGAGCCAGCTGAGTATTTGTCCTTACGATATTTTATGGACAAGAGCAAAAATCTTTTACCATTTTTAGGATCTAAATTGTGTCATCTTCTTTGGAAGGCTGACATGTGTTTGTTCTATCAGTTTGCTCTTCCTGCTCTGAACTGTAACCTCTGGGGACAGGGACTTTCTGTCATGCAGTGTTTGCCCAGCAGCAGCACAGCTCTGCTCCCCTGAGCCCTCTGGCACACCCACAGCAGCTCCAGCCTCCACAGGGATTGTTTTTGAGATTCTTCACCCCTGGGAATGGACTCAGCTCCCAGAACTTGCTGGGAAAGCCCACCAGGATGGTGATGCAGGGTGTCCCAGGAACCGTCTGTCTGTGGGAACAGGTTCTGACTGTGCCTCCCCTCTCCATTTCCCCTCGTGCACAAAGATGTATTTCCCAATACAACACCGTCACTTTTTTCCCTCTATGTTTCATTATTTATGAAGAATAGGGCAAATGATCCACACATGGTGGGTGGGTTGGTTGAGGCATCTCTTAAAGCGTTTTTTCCAAACTGCCAAGCTCAGTTTCTGGCATCCAGGCAAGCTGACCACAACCAGCAGGGCAGACCCTGCCCCACTGCCCTGCCCTTGCTTCCAGTGTCAGCTCTGCTATTCCTGGGATAGCCCCTATTGTTAGCAAGAACTATTATTAACCATCTGTAATTTCAGAAGTACAGACAGTTTGCTTAGCAAGTACAAAACATGGAATTGGCTGGGACAGCAGGAGGAGACACTTAGCAAACATCTCAACCCATAGTTCCTATCATGGTCGATTCTTTAGAGTAGCCTCTCATCGAGGCTGCAATCACTGATCGGGTTTTTACCTTGCCAGTTCGCAGTGTTTGACTACAACGTGATTGCAGGATCAGCTCCTCCCAGGGAAAATACCACCACTGCCCTCTCCTGTCCTTTCCTTGTCTCCTGTTTCCATTCCTTCTCTTCCCAGTTTCACTTAACTCTGGAGCTATCGAAGATTTACAGGGTAAATCTTCTTGTGCCTGTGACACAGAAGAATGCTCAGGAGATCTTTTGTGCCCTTTTCTTTGTCCCATTTCAGTGCCCTGGAGGCAGGAGCTGTCTGTGCCCTGTGTTTGTTGTGTGGCACAGAGCACCAGGGGCTCAGCAGCACAGCCTGCCCAGCTCCCAGCCCTGCAGGGGCACTGATACACAACTAGCAGCACCAGGCTGCTGTTTTTCCTGGCATTTCATACCAATATCTACATCTGAAAACCTCTTTAATAGCTCATGGAAGAGCTTTGGGCAAGCCTGTGTACTTTGTGGAGCAAGAAGAGCATTCTGGGAGTGACAAGGTTTGGGTAAGCATCCCCTCTCCCACTGATCCTTGAAGATTTGGGTCTGTGCTGAATACTGAGTTTGACTGAGAAACGAACAAGTTACAAAATCTGTGATAAA